TTGTGTTGATCACCTCGACGCCGCCAGACGCCAGCACAAAGACGTGCGAAAGCATTGTCCCCTCCTGGGCAATAATGTCCAGCTCACTGTACTCACGCACCATGACGTTTAGGTTTGTAATTTGCTCCTCCGTCAAGGTGAATAGATGGGGAACTGTGTATAGAAAACGGTGCACAGAGGAACCTCCATGTCGATGCATGACAACATCTTTTTCTCCAGTCTGCGTTGAAAATGCCAGTGTGCTCTTTATTGGCTCTGAAACGTCAACAATGTCCTCAAGATTGGGGTGCTCATTGGAATCATAGCTGGTTTTCTCCGCAGGCAAGACGGTGTCAGTTGGTATGTCGACGCTTCGGACACGCCCCTGGGCATCCAATGATATTGCGCTCATCCTCACACCTCCTTATATTTGGCAAAAAAAATGAACTCTTACCTGTTAGCTGTGACAATGATTTAAACAAAAAAACGTAACAATAAAGAATCACTTGAAGATTGTGGTGGGTCTCGCCCTGCAACGATAATAATAATAAATCAATGACAACCCCGCGACCTTGCAGAGTCATACGACATCCCATTCAACTGTGAATAGAGCCATAAATAGCTCCCTGTGGGAGGCACCGCAGTTAATGCATGGGAGACGGCAATCCTGTCATCCTCACACTCCACGGTCAGCAGGACGGGGTGGTGGGCCCACGTTGATCCAGTCATGTCTGTTTAGTTGCGAAACCGCACGCAAACAACGCATCGCCCAGAAATACCACTGTAACCCAGCCACAGCACTCGATAAAGGCAACTACTCCAAAAAAAAACAGTCCACCGCAGTCCCTGCAGTAACGGTGCCGCCACGTCAGCACAGCGAAGGGCCGCATGCACAACTCACACAAACTAGACGTCCCATCCCCCTGGCAGTGAGCCTTCATGACAGCTGGGTAAAAAAGATGAGGGTTACAGAAGGGATGACTAGCGTCCGCCTAGGACGCACCAGGCCATTTTGGTCGTATGCATGTAGTCAAAGAGGCAATAATAATAATAATAACAGTAAAAGGGACATGACAGATCCCTCCTTAATAAGAGTCAGCCTCTCTTGCCTATCCTCCGTACTTACTCAAGCTACTGCTTCTTCCGTTTGATCTCGCCCGACAGACATGGGCAACGAGTGCTCTCCCTGCAAATCAACTGCAGCGGATCACACGGTTCCACCCACGGCTCCCTTAGTGGCTTGTCAATCACTTCCGGTATCCCCGGCGGTGTATCAACAGAACGCCACCAGACCCGCTGCTGAACACCATTGCTCGTTCGGTGCCCTTGCGTACAACGCAGTTCTCGCTCAGGGTTCAGCCGCCTACTGTTTTGCGCAGCGCTAACTCTGGTGAATCGCTCTTTGTCCTACACCATCGTTGCATGATCCTTTGTGCCACAGCGAATACATAAGGAACTCATGTTAGTCTATATCATCACTTGGAAGATTCGTGCAGCAGAACAAAAAAGGGATGGAAATCACTTTTTTCACGCGGTTCCACACACGCACACACACCAATGTGAGAAGGACGCGTCGTCGATACGCAATGCAGCAGCGGCGACTCCCTTCACAGCCATATCGGCCACAACACAGAATCCACCAAGGCATGCCACAGACGCACATCAAAAGAGAAAGAGTGCTGCCCACGGGATATGCAGAACCAACAGACCACACAGCCACTCGCACTGTACACACAAGAAGGCGTCGGGCCGATTTCACCCACACAAAGTGTTGCCCATTTCAATACCTCGATGCTGAAGACCAACGCGTGGATAGCATAACCAGCAAAAATAACAACAAAAGCAGCAGTGGGACACAACACCGTCGCACGCCTGCAAAAGCCACGGGGGATTGAGAGCAGGAGTCACCATGAGGATAGCAACTCATTCCGCACACCGCTCAGAGCGTTGCTGCCATTTGGTTTCAGTCAACTCCCCCATGTGGCATCGAAGAAAACAAACTGTGCACGCCGAGGGGACACTACCCCCAACACTGCATCCCAGCACAAACATCATGTCAGTCGTATTTTCTCTTGCAGGAAAAAAAGACTAATGCCATGCAAAGCGGGAAGAACATTAAGAGGAGCACGCAGTCGAAACAATAACAGGAATGCCCCGAATCTGCGACAGCACGATGGCAGTAATAGAAATAGGACAACGAGTATAGGGGGCACACACTGCACACTGGCAGAATCAGAATTCATTCTCCCCCAGAGCAACACGTGTCACCCCGCAAAACAAATCCACACCCACATATGCACATCACTGCATATTGTTTCTGTTTCTGTAGAGAGGGAGGGGCAACACCACGAAAAGTAGCATATTTTCGCAGAGTGAATATATCTCGTCGGGTGCGTAGGAGAGACTCCTAGCCGCACGCTACGGTACAGAGGAGACTAATGGTGTTGCACCACAGAGCACCAAGATTAGCACAAACTGCTTCGCGCAACACCATCCCCAGACTCAGGCAGTATCTTGGCGGCTCAGCCCAGAGAAAAAGAGAGAGCAGGACGGAGCCACTCCTGCCACACCAAACGACGCACTCTGACTGCCTCATTTTCAGTGCGTCCCTCTCTC